GCCGCGGCGGGTGCGGGGGGCTGCACGGCAGCCGCTGGTTCCCAGTGCCTCTCGCGCTGGCTCCCGCTTTTCCGTTCACCCTCTAACTGTCGAACCTTGCTCCTGCTTCCTCCAGAGCTGCTAGCAGCTCTTGCTGATGTCCGGGTCTCCCTTTGGATCCTGTCCCCACGCCTGGAGCTTTTACCCACGTGCTCCCACATCATTCTCGTGCCCTTGGTGATCCCAGGGAGTTTGCCGGGGCCGGCGCTCTGCCTCACGCTGGGTCTGCACTGCCTGGCCTGGGCAAACACAGCGAAGGGGAAAGCCGGAGGGTTCTGTTAAAGTGAAGCTCCCCTAGCTTTGCACATCAAGTTCCAGCCCAGCTAATTTCTTGCAGCTTTGTCTGTAAGTGGTGAGTATAAGTTGTAGTCAGAGGGAGTTTTGTTCTTTTTTTTCTAAATTACTTAATAATTTTCAAGTCTTTTTTTTGAAGTGCACAATTTGTCAGGCGGGTTATTAAACTCATTTTTAAACAGGTCTGCCATTTCGCGTCAGCATTAGCAGTATTTGTGAAGCCCAGAGCAGCAAGCACAGCTTATCCTGCAGGGTATTTCAAGGGCTCGGTAATTTACTGGTTTACGAGGGTGTTAAGCGGCATCATGTTGCATCCTCCACGGGGATGGAGGCCGTGCTGTTGTTGGAGGGCAGCAGGTATTTCCCCTGAAGCATCTGTCCCTGTGGCCAAAGGCCTCAGGAGGATGTTTTCTCCCTGGCGTGGGCTCCTGGCCTCACCCAGCAGGACAAGTGTTAAATTCCTCTATATATCACCAAAGCAATCATACAAATGCTTGTGTTTGGGGGGGTTGTGCTGCGTGGTTACATGCCTGGTAACTCGCCTGCTCCTGCTGGCTGTCTCCTGAAGACAAGAGTGGAGAGGAATCGTTCTCCTCCCCAGAGGCTGCTTTATTCCTCAGCTTCCCATCCGAGGGAGCATCCTGGCATGGGACAGCTTCTTCTTTAGCACTCTGTGTATTGGCCCGAGCTCGTTTTGGTACTGAAAGGCTGCAAAGCTTTTTGGATATGGTAGCTTGAAGGGCAGCCCCAGGGTCGTCGCTTGGCTCGCGGGCTGGCTCTGCTGGTTGTGAGGAGAGACTCTGCTGTGCCAGTGAAATGCTGAGCCCTCTGCAGAGGGTGCAGCTGCTCTCTGGAGCTGCAGAAGGCTGGCAGTGGGATAAAGCTTGGGCAGGATCAAGTCTCTGCCAAGCACTTGGTGTGCTAGGACCTTTGTGGGTTTTTAGAACAGTGGCACAAAGGTATTTTGCTTCCCAGAGTTGCAGGGGGGCTCTGTTTTCCTGCAGGACCGTGAAGAGCGAGTCGGTGTGGGTGTTCTGGGGAGTTCCCAGCTGAGGAGCGTGCGAGCCCGCCGTGGCCATGCCGACCAGGAGGAGGAGGGCTGCTCTTGGGCAGAGCCCTGTGGGTGGTGCTGTGCTCCCACGGGCACGGCCGAGACCTTGGCAGGAGCGTAGGAAGGTGCAAACCCGCAGTGAGGAAACGCGGCCAGCAGAGACGTCAGCACAGGTGCAACTTTAGCCTCTCTTTCTGGATGAGTAAAACAGCTTCAGCACAGCCCTCAGCAAGGGAAGCTGAGGGAGGACCTTGTGGTCGTGGCACAGGACTGGGGTTGAACCTAATGCTGTTGATAGGAAGCCTGAAGCCCCTTTAGAGCTGTGGGCATGTTTGTGGACATCTCCGAGATGCTGAAGGACAGAGTAGCCTTGCTGCTCCAGTGTAATTTCCCTGTGAGTGTCCAGTCTGTCTTGCAGCCTTTGGAGCCAGGTTATTATGGTCCTCTCCTGATGCAGGACACATCTGGCTCCCTTTTTAGAGCAGCTTCCATGTGTTAGAAGTCTGTCACCATGTTACAGTCTTCATTTTGGAGGAAAGAACACTCCCCACCTTAAACACTGTGTGTTGCTTTTGTAGGCTCCTCAAATGCCCTTTCCTCCCCTGCTGACGAGGGGGAGCCGAAAGGGCACCCGGGCTGCTGGAGGTTGGTGCTCTTCATGTGTGCTGCCAGAGACCTGGCCTGGTGGTAGGAGCTCCAGGGATGCACTCAGTTGTGCTCCAGTTGCAGAATCAGACCTGCCACCAGCCCCCTCCTGCACTGCACACACCTGTGTGCTAGGTGGGCTCGCGCTGACATCCCAGGCTTCGGAGTTGGCGACTGAACCACTTCCAGGATTTGCCCTCACTTGGGCAGTCTCTTGAGGATGTCTCCCAAGGGGAGACCACATCTTGCAGGACAGTAACCAGTGTGATCCATCTGCTTAGTGTTTTGTTCTATCGAGTGCAAAGAAAAGTTATGGGGTTCACGGGGAGTGAACATGATGGCAAGATGATGTCAAGATGATAAGAGGAGCCCAAGGCACAAGTAATCCCAGACAGAACCAGAAGCAGGTGCAACTTGTACTTTCTTTCTTCTCCATCATTGCCCCATCAGAGGCAAGTGGGCTGTTCCACTTTGCTTCCCTGAGGAATTTAATGTTGTGTCTGCTGGAGACTTGCCAGTGGTTGGGTCCTGGATTGGGATTTAGCAGACTTGGATTCAGGTCCTTGCTGTGTGCCGAAGTCCATGCGTGATCTTGGTCATGTTATCACTTAGTGTTGCCTGATTGCACGGCTGGGATAATATCACTTCACTCACAAGAGCGCTTGGTTACTGCAGAAAGCACTAGGACACCCTGTCCTTCAGTCACATCCAGACTGAGCAAAAAAATGAGCCAAATCTCATTAAATAAATGCATCTCGTCAGCGGCTTGGGCAGGGCGCAGCGTCCTGCTGCAGCATGAGGCCTGTTCCACTCATCTCTAGCGATGCCGGAGCGAAGCCCAAGGACGTGGGAAGGAGCCAGGGTGCCAGCAGGAGCGTTTGTGCAGCGCTGGAGGAGACGTGAGCCGCAGGCAGAGCGGCCAGCGATCCCGCAGGGGCTGAGAGCCCGTGCCCTGCCAGGCAGGGCTGGAGAGGGGCTGCTGTGGCCCTGATGGTTGGGGACATTTGTTCAGCTGATGGCAGGACTGGGACCTTGTGGAAAGGGCACCTGAGGGCCCATCCCTGCTCCGGTGTT